GCCTTTCTAATAAAATAAATAAATCTTTAAAAACAAACAAACAAAAACCTGTGCCCATATGGGATCCCAGCATGTTCAAGATGAGGACATTAGCCAATAGGCCACTGTGCCAGGCCCACTTTTTTTTTTTTTTAAGATTCATTTATTTTTATTGAAAAGACAGATTTACAGAGGGAAGGAGAAACAGAAAGACCTTCTATTTGCTGGTTCACTCCTCAATGGTGCAATGATAGAGCTAAGCTAATCCAAAGCTAGAAGCCAGAAACCTACTCTGGTTCTCCCATGCAGGTGCAAGGTTCCAAGGCTTTGAGCCATCCTCTGCTACTTTCCCAGGCCACAAGCAGGAAGCTGGAAGAGGAGTAGAGTAGCCAGGATGTAAACAAGTGCCCAAATGGGATCCCAGCCCTTGTAAGGGAAGGATTGGCCAACTGAACCGTTGCACTAGGATGCCTATTCCTTACTTCTTTGAGAACAACTTTTTAGCTTTCACATGTCTCCTTCTGTGCTGGAATTATTTAACATAAAGACCTTCAGTTTCATTCATGTTAATGCAAGTAACAGAATTTCAGTCTTTTAAATGCCATAATCCATTGTGTATGCATGAGAATACTTAAGCAGCTCATGAAAAATGGAATTCAAGGATATGCAGTGTTTATTTTGAGGCTTTACAGATATGTGGTTTCTCTGCATAGAGATATTCAGTTTTCCCATTGCTGTTTTTTGAAGAGGATTTCATTTTCCCGATGTTGTCAGTTGATTGAACGTCCATGGGGTAATCCCTGAGTTCTATATTCATTTCCATTGGGCTTGTGTCTGTTTATGTGCTGGTACCATGCTGTTTTTGTCACTCTAGCTTTGTAAGTGTTCCAAAGTCAGATACTATAATTCTCTAGCTTTATTATTTTGGCTCAAGATTGCTTTGGCTATTTGAAGTCTTTTGTAAATTGTTCCATATGAATTTTAAAATGTTTTTCCCCCTATGTGTATGAAGAATGCAAGTGATGTGATAATAGAAATTATATAAATGATTCTGTGTTGTGGTCTTAGGCAGTTGGTTCATGATATAAAAAAAGACACCCCACATTCATGGATTAGAAGAATTGATATTGCTAGATTTTCCATACTATCCAGATGTTGCAGGGTACAAAAGAGATCACACCAAGCAAGTCTAGGATTCATTAAGGAGTCTTTATTAACCAAGCTTGGTGATATACTCTTCATCTCTTTTGTCAATGTTTTATAATTTTTACTGTACAATAGATCACTTCTTTTAATAAATTTATTGAGATGTATGCATGATATTGCTTTCCTAGTTTGTTGCAAAAATCAATTTGATTATTGATATAAAAATAGTTAAATGAGTTTTATTTTGTTGACTTTGTGTCCAGCAATCTTTGCCAGGCTTTTTTCTTATGGAAGTTTGCAGGTTTTTCTATACTCATGTATTAAAATTCAATCATCTGCAAACAGAGATAATTTGACTCCTTCCTGGTTTGGATACCCTTTAATTAGTTCACACATTTCCAATAATGTATTGCATATGAATGATCAAAGTGGACAACCTGCTCAGGGTAGGCTTTCTAGTTGCTCTGAGTCCATGATGGAGAAGCAGGGTTTCTTAGATCTATCTATTTCTCAGGGGGCCAAACTTCTGAAATTAGGCTACTCAGCTGCTTCCTGGGGCTACAGAAGAATGGATGAGACTGCCTGGCAATTTCCTGAGGTTTCAGTTTTGGGGACAGAGCCACTCATCTGTTTCCCAAGCATCTGTTAGTTCAGGCACTTAAGAGCAAGATGCCCAGGGACTTTTTAGAGCCAAGAGTAGATGTACAGACTGACCGGAATGCCTTCTCAAGGTCTCTGCAGGTGAAGTCATTTGGGTTGGGCTGCCCAAGGGCTTCATGGGGTATAGGGAAGCAAGTGAGTCCACTTGGCTGCTTCGTAGGGCTGGTGTGGCCCAGCTGCTTCATAGGCCCTCTGGTGGGTCGAGTGTTAGGGTGCCATGCAACAGGAACTTGGGTAGGGAATGACAGGATGTAGGCTGAGCTCCTCTGGGGCAATGCAGCAGTGTGATCTCCTGGCCATTGTCCAGACTGGGCTCAGGGCTTGTGAGAGCTGCATCTTCTCCAGCACCAAATACATCAGGTGTTCCTCGTTGGAGCAAGGACTGCTGGGATCTTACGGCTTACTCTTTCCCTGTGGAGCAAAGTCCCTCTTGTTCCGGGGTTGATTGTGACAACTGCTGTGTGCCTAGTTTCCTTCTTTAGAAAAGCAGCATGTAACTCCCTGCTCTGCAACATCTGCTACTTCCTGCTGCACACCAGCACTCTGCCTCCATCCCTCGTGGTAAGGAGCAGTTGTTTCCCACCCCTCTCCCCACCTCCCCTTTATTTCATGCTTTGTTGTTGAGGGAAGTGCACCATTTTGCTTACACATTTAAAGGGTGGAGTATCACTAGCTTTATTCTTGAGAGATCTTACTTATGGCCACTGAAATTTTGTTTCTGATTTCAGTCTATTTTCCAAACTGCACAAAGGACCCCTTTGCTTTTGTTATGTTTATAAATTGAATTCATGTCTAATCTAGGGTCATTCAAACTAACACTGCTCCCTCTGCCTCCCTTCACACTCCATTCCTAGGTGAGACTACATTTCAAATTCTTTGGTCACAGTGAAACCAAGAAACTGAGCAGGTTGAACGATTCCATTCATTTTCTAATCCTGGTTAATTACAGTGCCACATTTCACCTGAAGTGCTATAGCCTTTTCAAACAGATCCAGGTCCCAGGGTGGATGTAAATAAGAGGCCATTTTGGCTGCGAAGGCAGGAAGCAGGTAGGTTGACTTATCATCCAGCCCCTGTAGTTGCAATTCAGTGACTGTGGGTGAAGAATTGGTGTCAGCCCCTGTGATGTTTCCTTCTAAGAAGAAATCAGGGACACAGGGTGACAGCCCACCATGATTTTCTTTTACCTTATTTAGACACTAATGAAAAAAACTGTATTTTTATGTAGAGAGATAAATGCATACATACCCATGTGGTTTTGATTAAAAGCATTTAAGAAGGATAGTATTACAGATAAAAAGGACTAATCCAGAGGCCGTGGCACATCTGGTGTTAAGAAAAATAATCATAGCCTGTTAACTCCATCTGTTTCCTTTGAAAAGGAAAATCCTTTAAAATCCTGTCACAAGGTCTTAGGCTCATGAAGAGGATTCTCCTTCCAAGATTCCCATGTGACTGTGTGTGGTTTCAGAAAAATCAGTTGACATCAGTGTTTGAATTGCAATTTTTGGATCAGTATTAGAATTTCTCAGGCCCTCTGAATTAAAGTGATGCAGGTTCCTTGCTGGAGGCCAGGTCCAGCTGAGTGCAGAACTCGAGAAGGGTGTGTGGAGTCAGCAAAAAGAAGAGACACGGACGTTGTTACTTTGTGCCCTTCCTGTAACAGCTCAAGAAGCTGTCTTTTTTTATTTGCTAAGAAACACATCACAAGCTGCTAAAAAAAAGTTTGACTGTTCTATTTTTTTTTAATTCCATGCCTAAAAGGGTATGCAAGTTGTTTGATTATTTTATGTTTTACTTCATGGCCAACCAGGTGCTCTTAAAGATAATTCTGTAAGTTACAATAATAATTTTTCTTCAAAGCAATCCATTATTCATTTTTCAGTAGTAGCCATTGGGCTGCAGCCAGGACTGCAAGGCCAAGGCACATGCGGTTACCTACTAATCAGTAATACATTCCTACTACATTTCTGTTTCCACAACTTGCTTATCACTTAATGGGAGAAACATGTCACAAGGGCAAAAATATAAAAATACAAGGCAAAAGTTTCAAATATTAAAACCCCCTACAACTACAGGCTCTATAACCCCATAAATAATCAAATAATAATTAAAAGCATATCTCTATATTAGTAAAAGCATCCTTTAATTTTTCTTGCCAAAAATTATGTAAGTGGCTAAAACAGATTGTTTCCTATGCTCCAAAGAAATTGCAAAGACTGGCTAGCCTTTAAGATCACAGTAACTGTATTTATCTCCATAGCAGTTTCAGCTTATACTCCCATCACTTTCATTAATTTTTAGAATACTCATCAAGCTATTTCCCAGAAAGCATGCTACTTGTCTGGGGCAATGGGTAAGCACACAATAAGGTATCCAGAAATGGCATGGGCTTAATCATACTCCTGTGTGTAAATTGTTAAAGGTCCACTCACCAAGACATGATCAGCAACATCAACTCCCAAGCTCACATTGGTGCAAAAACCATCTCACAAGGGCAAACAACAATGCCTCAATAAATTACAGAATTCTTAGTGGGGTGGTTGAGTGTCCATGCAAAAGCGGTGAGACTGTCAAGGTGGTTGCCAGACCTTGCCAAACAGCTGGAAGTTCCTCGCAGCCTTGCCAATAGGGGAACTATTCTCTTCACACCTTTGTGTCATCCACACCCACTGCACAGGCCCCTACCAGTTCATGTCATATCTTAGTGTTAGATTGTGAACTTCTAGAGGTCAGAATCCAGGTAAGATTTATTTGCCTATGTCCTAAAGCCAGCATAATTCCTAGCTTGGGAAAATTAAACATTTTACTTGGTACTTATCTGAAAATCAAATTTAGACATTGTTGTTTTATCTGGATACCTTATTCCTGGCACATAAATATTGTTTCAGGTTCCATATGCCTGGCTCCATAATATTGGTGGGTAAATGACTAAGCATAGTACCAACAAACGGAGACATTCACTGGTAGAAACCTTGATTGACCATAGGAAAGCTCTTCATCCAAGTTCTGCCTGACAATCACAAAACATCAACAGAGGGTCTGGCTACCATCCTGCTGTCTGGATCTGATGTGAGATGCTTTTTCTATGCCTGCGTTGTCAGCCCCTTCCACTCTATGTGCTATGGAAAGCATACTAATCTGATAATGTGGGTGTTTTGTTCCAGGAATTTTACACCTTAGTTCCACACATTTCTTGATTTTTTTTTTATGTTTGCCTAATTATTTATTAGTGTTTACCAGTTGTACAAGAAAATTGACTTTGGATGGTGTCTGGGGCGCAGCCATTTTGAAGTACAATCATCTCTGTATCTTCCTTTCAAATGCCAAAATCGGGTCTTTATTCCAGCCGAACCCTGGGGTTCTGGGTAAAGTCATTCACCTTTATTAAACCATCAGGACCAATTCTGTTGGGAAAAACATACCTGGGGTTAGTGTATATAACCATTAATGTGAAGAAGGATAATACATAAATAACTCTTGACCTCAAGATGAATTCCACCACTGCTCCTGCACCGTGGAGTTCTCTTCTAACTTTGGGCTGTTCTTCCACTTCCACTACCACCACCTCTCCACACACACTGCTTCCTCTTCTCCAATCCCCTTCCCCTCATTTCCTTTCCCTTTCGACTCCACTAATCAAAACTGAGTGTGAGCCTGTCCCCCGCAGCCTTGGTAAAGCCTGGATTCCATGGGCCCACTCTCAGAGTGGGTGATCTTGCAGGTCCAGGTGCAGCCTTGAGTCTGCATTTCTAGCACGTTTCCAGGGTGTTGCTGAGCTGTGGAGGCTCTCAGCAGCTCCACAAGAACCACTTCCCTTTGTCCTTATCTCCCTTCTCCCCTTTCAGGTCTGCAATTCACATTTCTTTCTCTCTCAGTTCTCAGTACAGTGGGATGTACACAATGCTCCTTGACTTATGAAGGGGTTTGATAAGCCTATCAGAAATTGAAAATGCTGTGCGCTAAAAGGCATCTAATCCACCTAACCTTCCAGACAGCACAGCTTAACAGCACAATCTGTTGCTGAACATTCGCAGGTGTCTTCCTTGCAACCATGCAATTGTCAGGGAGCTGCCAAAGGATCCAAATTTGAAATCCAAACTTGATTTCCACTGCATGCATATCACTTCTGTCCCATTGTAAAGATGGATCATCATAAACTGGGAACCATCTGTAGTAATCACACTTAATATGTCTCAGCTTGCTGCATTTGTTTTCCCAGGATTTCATCTGCAATTGATAAAACATACTCACACTTCCTGTTCAATGTAGTTTAGCATTCTGCTGACATGGGATGCTGAGATCTCCCCATCCACTTCAGCAATATATGTGTAGAGAAACTGGAAGGTGCTGAAAGGGATTCGGGGAGGTCCGCTGTCTCGGTCACACGATAAAACTTCACACACTATCTCAAGTGTTTTGGCAATGGTCTATGAAACCAGAAGATAAAGTCAGGACAAAGTCATTCCTTCAGGCTAGACTCCTGAGATTAGTTTAGATACAAGAAAGCAAACAAGATAGTATAACCCTAAAATGTAGAGGGATGATCTAAAGTTCTAGAAAGCTTGAAGTGTTTACACTCAAATGTCACTTACCTAATGAATCCTTAAAAATAAGTTGTCTATACTTCATATCTTTATTTCCTCTTTATTAGTTGGAAGGTTATGCTCAAGAAATTAAGTTGATAAACTTGTAAGTAATTAACTTGGGTTTTTGTTTGTTTTTGAAAGGCAGAGTTAGAGAGCAAGATAGATATCATTGTAACCAAAATGGTTACAATGGTGGCAGCTGAATCCAGGAACCGGGAGTTTCCTCTGGGTCTCTCATGTGGGTGGCAGAATTTGAGCCCTCTTCTGCTGCTTTTCCAGGAACATTAGCAGGGAACTGGATGAGAAGCGAGGTAGCTAAGACTCAAACCAATGTCTAAATAGTATGCCAACATGGCTGGCCCCTGTTTATTTTCATCAGAATTACCTTATTAAAAGAGGGGAAATGATTTTTCATTTTACAAAGCAAATTATTATTGCCCATATCTTACTTCATTTAAAAAATTTTTTAAAGCTTTATTTAAAAGAAAGACAGATTTATAGAGAAGGAGAGACAGAGAGAAAGATCTTCCATCCACTGTTTCACTCCCTAAAATGGCCACAATGGCCAGAGCTGAGCTAATCTGAAGCCAGGAGCTGCTTCTGGGTCTTCCACGCAGGCACAGGGTCCCAAGGCTTTGGGCCATACTCTACTGCTTTCCCAAGCCTCAAACAGAGCACTGGAAGGGAAGTAGAGCAGCCAGGACAGGAACTGGCACCCATATGGGATCCCAGCATGTGCAAGGCAAGGAATTTAGCCACTAGACTACTGTGCCACACCTCACCCCTAATCTTACTTCTAAATGGGTAATGCAATAAGCTTAGCCTATAGACACCAACAAGATACTTGTAGCAATGCCACAGTAGGGAAAGACAGGGTCTTGTCCCTAGGAAGGCAAGAGTTCCAGAAGCTGGAAAGATGGTACCTAATACCTATTTCTTCTAAAACATGGATTCATCTCAGTAGAATCATCCAGGATTTTGTAGTACATAAACTAAGCCTGTTTTTGATAGAGAAAAATTAATAGATGATAAATGCTGGAAGTTTTAATAGGAAGATAACTACAGAAGCACTCTACGGTGAAATTTGAATGTTAAAGGATTGTTAGTTATGTGTATAGAAGGGGGCTGAAGAAAATGAGAATTTTTAAAGAAAACAAATGTGTAATGGAGCAAGGAAACAAGCCCTGGAAGCAGACCAGCATGTGCATCTGTAGAAACTGTTCTTGTTTGGAAATGCTTAGCTGGGATTCAGCCCTTTCCTTGGAGGCAGCTCAGCAGAGTCCCCCTGCCCTGCACCAAGGGAGCTATTAGATCCAATAACACCATACTGACAAGATCCTGATAGGATGTTTGAGACCTCCACATCCAGAAATCCCCATACCCACAATTTCCTAGAAGAGGGAGCAGGGGAGAAGAAATGGAGAACCCAATTCACATCCATAAAAGCTCCAGTGTGAATGCTAACTGGGCTCCAACTCTTTTACTGAGATGCCTGCCTGGTCAGTCAGGTGTGCTCTTCATTATTTCTCTCCATTTAAAAATTTTTATTTTTATTTGAAAGGCTGATCTACAGAGAGAGAAAGAGTGATAGAGAAGGTCTTCCACCTCCTGGTTCAATCCCAAATGGCCACAATGGCCAGAGCTGAGCAGGCCTGAAGCTGGAAGCCAGAAGCTTCTTCTGAATCTCTCACCTGAGTGCATGGTTTCAAGGACTTAAGCCATCCTCTGCTGATTTCCCAGGCCACAAACAGGGAGCTGGAGGGGAACTGGAGTAGCCAGGACGCAAATCTGGTGCCCATTTGGATGCTGATGTCAAAGGGTAGAGGATTAGCCTGATGTCACTGTGCTGGCCCCTCTTTATTTGTCATCATTAAGCTTGGTAAGTATGCCAGCCAATATTCTGGCTCCCATCTGAATCTTGTGTAAACACAAGAGCCTCTGAACAGCCTTATGCATTCACAGGATCACTTTAAAAACTGAGCCTATGTCTTTAAATAAACCTACCCTTTGAATAAGTGTCAGAAATGGAAGAGTGTGGAATGACTGAAGAAGATGATGTCTTAGATTTGAATTGGCAAAACCAGATCTGCATAGGCATGGTGCTTTAGAAGCAGATGACATACAGATCCTCCTCATATACTTCCAGGAATCAGTGAAACACAAGGCATGAGTACTGAACCAGGGATGAAGGCCAAATGAGCAGGCAACTGCTCCACCCTGGGCCCTTGGTGGCTGGTGCTCGGTTCTCTTCCGCCCCATCAATAATGAAGGTCAAGATGTTGCCTTCTCACCCGAGGTGTGTATTACTCAGGGCACATTTTCTCTGTGTCACAACAAGGCATATGAGGAAGTAAACTTGGCCCCGATTTCTGGATGGATAGGTTTACTTCATAACAAATAATTTAGACATAAATCACCACAATTATTAATGTTTAAATTTTTCTCACATTGAACAAACATGGATTTTTAAAAAATGAAACAGAATCATCAATAATTTCAAAATTTTACACATGCAGCAGGCCACTGTGTTCTGTGCTATCCCTGGGGTCCCCTCATGGTAGGTGTGGTGATGCACAATGTGAGGCATTGTTCCAGGTACTCCCACTGAACCAGCAGAGCTGTCAGTGACCAGGGGAAGGCATGCGCATAAAATGTGGTCAGCATGGGAGTGCTTGGAATGTATTTACAAGCAGGGTTGTGGGCTGAACTTTATGATTTCATCCAGAGCTCATCTCCCTGCTTCTCTAAACAAAACAAAGAAAAAAAAAAACCTGCCCTGCCCTCCCCACCTCCCTCATTGCCTTTGTGCCAGTGCTTTCTTCCTTGGGGTGCTGTGATAAGGCTGTTTTGGTCCTCTAAAATTTATATATTAAACTCGCAACTGCAGAAGCTGACAATGTGATTTCATTTGGAGCTAGAACCTTTAAATAGGTGATCAAGTTAATATATGGTCATTTGGGTGAGGCAGGCGTGCTTATGAAAAAAGGAGATTACAACCCAGAAAGAGACCAGATGTGTGGGGTGCTGAGGGCCTCAGGGTGAAGTTGGCCTCGCCTGAGGCAAGCAGCAGGGCTTCAGAAGAAACCAACATCGCAGACATCCTGCACTTGGACTCTGGGCCTCCAGCACTACGAGACACTACATTTCCATTGTGAAGCCACTGAGTGTGTGGTATACATTATTATGGCAGTCCTAGCAAACCAATATAGATGTCTTTGACCCCAAACATCATCCTTTATTGATCACTCACACAACACATGTTCAAATTCTACTGCCCTCATATGACTCTTAAACATGTTTACAGATTGAATATAATATGTGGGCGAAAGGGTTAAGAACTGTTTGGACTAGAGATTCTTAGTAAACGCAGATAAACCTAAAGTAAACAAAGAATGAAGCTTTTGGTAGAGCGGCTTAAGACCCTGCTTGGGATGCCAGCAACCCCTATAGGAGTGCTTGGGTTGCATCCCAGCTAGCTGCTAACAACTGCACATCCCAGGAGGCAGCAGATGATGGCTGAAGTACTTTGGTCCCTGCCCCATGTGGGAGACTTGGATGGAGTTCTGAGGTCCTGACTTTGGCTTGGCCCAGTCCTGGCTGCTGCAGATCTTTTGAACCGGAGGACAGACATGTTTGTGTCTTTCACATAAAATGAAAAATAAATAAGAACTTAAAATAAACAGATCTTCATTCTTTTGTGCAAATGCTTGGGATCAGATGAGGATCACAGAGGTTGCTGTAAGCATCTTCCAAGGCTCATATTCAAAGTCAGAAGTAAAAGACTCAAGAAGTTCACTGTTACAAAAGAATACAAAATCTCTACCATTGTCCATACCTACAATGTTAGCAGACACTTAGACAACAGAATGATGGACTGCTTACAAAGGACTAAACTATTGTAATGATATAGGAGAAACCAGTGGTGGGGAGAGGAATTGGGAAGCAGTAATATGAAATCCCAGAGCCTATGCAGCTGCATCATAAAATAATAAGATATTTTTTAAGGTGAACAGCCATTAATAAGACAAAGTCATTTCTTCCAGCAAACACAGTTATTTACTATGTGTGTGATCTCTTGCTTTTTACAGTCTGACTACAGGAACAGGAGAGGCCAGCATGGAGGAAGGTGGCTGAAAGGGAATCCAAAACAGGTCTGCATGCCATGGCATTCTCAATGTTGGGTGTAAGATGCAGAGAAATAAAGATGGGAGCAAACATACCTACTACCTACTTGAGCAAATGCCACCCTAGGCTCTTCTCCAAGGGGCATACAAGGATCATGACTTGCTTCTGAGCTGGCAAAGGAAGGAGGGAATTTTTGAGCTTGCCACCAAGGCTCCATTAAACTTGCCATTAAGGCTCCACTTGCTTAGTGACTCCAAGGGACACTAAGGAGTCCCTGGAACTCAAGACCTCTGCCAGCTGGTGACACCTGCCTTGAGGCTGCCACAGCAAAATTCTCTTAGACTGATTGAACTACAAGCAACATAAACTTCACTGCTCACCGCTCTGGAAGCTAAGAAGTCCACTGTCAAGTTGCCAGCCGATTGGGAGTCTGGTAATGAAGGGCCCCTGCCTTCCATGTGTCCTTCTATGGTAGAAAGGCCAGTAGGTTCCCTCAAGCCTCTTTCAGAAGGTTTTGAATCCCAGTCATTGGATTTCTACCCTAAAGATTTAGCCTCCTCCCAAAAGTCCCACTTCCTAGTGGTATCACCTTGGAATGAAAGTTTCACCAAATGTATTGTATACAGTGATGCTGACCAACCCTGATACAAATGTGAGAAAACACAGAGACAGTTCAGGATGGAGGCTTGCATGGCCAGGAGCGTACCCTCTCTGGTTTGCTAACCAAACTACTAGGGGTGAGGGGAAGCAGAGCAGGAATGGTAAAAGTTAGAATAAAGGGATGTCCTCTATTAATATGTCTGGGAAACCTGGCCGGGCAAGTGCAATGCTAAAAGAGACATAAAGAATTGTATTCATTAGTTGAAAAGCAGGCTGTGCTGCCAAGGTTGCTCAGAAGGCCAGATGGCTGGGGTGCTCAGTCCTAGGAGTGTGATCTCCCGATAGGTCACAGGACTGAGTTTTTTTTTCTGCCCTGAAAGAAGTCATAACCAAAAGGGAGAAATGGAAGATAAGGCAAGAGAGCTCACAACACAAGGAATACTTTTCTTATGGCCCCTATATAAAGTATAAGACCCCACATCACTTCCTTCTCACAGCGTTTTTTATGGGAGCTTTCCTCCTCCCAGCTCCTTTGTTGGGCGCTTTCCCTCTTCTAATCCTCTTGCTCTTTTAAAATAAAACTCTGGCTAAAAATTGCCGTCACAGTCTATTCATAGGTCTCCTGCTTGGTCACGGAGAGGGCAAGTTCCTAGGGCTAATCATCAGCTGTAGCATCCCCACAGTTGAGTCTCCAGAACAGGTTCAACATGATAAAAAGGGGCAGTAAGTGGATTTCTGGAGCCACAGAGCCCCGGCCATGTAGAGAGCAGACTTCCAGGCTGCATGGCTGCATCACATGTCCTGGGATGACTTAGAGGTATTCGTCATCCAGAGATGGTCCTGGGGGAGTCTCACCGGCAGCAAAGCAAAAGAAATAGAATCCTAACACATTAGAGGTGAAAAACAAAAACCTCGTGAACTTGCCATCCAACCCTGCTCTTTTAGAAGGGAAGCGGAGAGATTCGTTTTCCCCCACCCAGCAGCTGCACAGTGGGCTTGAGCTGAGGGAAGGCTGGAGTTTAGCTTTCCAATCCTATCTGTGCTGCCGTAAGGGGCGATGACCAGGAGCTGACCCGGACATCTAACACACAGATCACATAAGCTGAAGAGCCCATGAACCTCCCTTCGCCTCCACCCCAGGCTGTGACTGCAGGAGGCCTTCAGCAGCAGGGACAGAGAGGAGCCACTGAGGAAGCAAGTTGCTGCTGTGAACAATCCCAGAGAGTGGAAGAGCAAAGATGGGGGGCCGTCAGCAACCACAGGGGCACTGCCCTGGAGACCAGAGGAGCAGTACTGGGCCTGTGAGAACACATCCCCTTGGCTGTGTGAGGTCCTCAAGTCCACCTTTGCCTCTACACGCAGCTGTACCTTGGAGGAGAGAGTGGTAAGAAGAGAACAGAGAGACAGGGCAATTTCCTTGAGGCCTTTTTTGGTGACTGCATCCAATTGGGCTGAATCCACTTATAGCTTACTCTTTGCCGACACGGTAGATCAAGAAGATCAAAATTAACTACACATAGAATTAAGGGGTATGCGCCCCACCCTCAAACTGAATGTGGGTGAACAGATGCGTGGCCGATGATGTTTTCCCCTCTGTGGCCTCCCCTAAACCTTGAGATCAATTCTGATTGACAGCTCATTTGCCCCCTGCTGCCTTTTCCCCTCCCCTTAGGATGGCTGTAATATTCATGACACAATGCTGCCAGAAAGGACAGTGATGAAAACTGATGCCCTGGCCCTTCCATAGAAGCACTGAAGGTGAAGGCTGCCGAGGGGAGCCCAGAGGAGAAGCTGGACTATAATGTTGGCACTACAATTTTCTCAGAAACAAAAAATGTCAACTACGCATCCCAAGCATATTGGAGAAGAAAGGGTAAGATCGTGTTTAAATATGCCGAATGATTCAAACTACCTTTCATTTCATTTGGTTTTAGCACTAGGCAATGACTTTCTCATTCAATTTTAAACTTGTATGTATTTCGAGAATAATGTTTAAAACAATGCTTCTGATTCACTTGAAGTTATTTAACGTGGGTGAGTGCACATGTAAGATACTTGAGCTTGAGCTTTAAATACATTTTCTGATTTCAGCATCATCTTCAAAATGGGAAAATGGCTTTCCCCATTGTCACACAAGTCAGAGCTGGGAAAGGCTTGAATCTGGGAGCCTCTTGCAACCATGGTGATGTCATGAGGACAGGTTTAGAAATAGCTTCCTCTCTTCTTTCTTGCCTTTTGATCTATGATTTTTGCATGCAATAATGGTTATTCATTAACAGTTTCCTGTTGGGCTGCAGCCCTTTTAAAAACTCTCAAGGAGTGGGCCCAGCACGATAGCCTAGCAAAAAGTCCTCGCCTTGCAAACACTGGGATCCCATATGGGTGCCGGCTCTAATCCCAGCAGCCCCGCTTCCCATCCAGCTCCCTGCTTGTGGCCTGGGAAAGCAATCAACGACCGCCCAAAGCCTTGGGACCTTGCACCTGTGCAGGAGACCTGGAGGAGGTTCCTGGCTGCTGGCTCCTGGCTCCTGGCTTCAGATTGGCTCAACTCTGGCCATTGAGGCCACTTGAGGAGTGAATCAGTAGATGGAAGATCTTCCTGTCTGTCTGTCTGTCCTCTCTGTATATCTGACTTTCCAATAAAAATAAATCTTTAAAAAAAAAAACAACTCGGGCCCGGCGCGGTGGCGCAAATGGTTAAAGGTCCTCTCGCCTTGCACGCCCGGGATCCCATATGGGCGCCGGTTCTAATCCCGGCAGCCCCGCTTCCCTTCCAGCTCCCTGCCTGTGGCCTGGGAAAGCAGTCAAGCACGGCCCAAGGCTTTGGGAACCTGCACCCGCGTGGGAGACCCGGAAGAGGCTCCTGGCTTCGGATAGGCATAGTATCGGCCCGTAGCGCTCACTTGGGGAGTGAATCATCGGACGGAAGATCTTCCTCTCTGTCTCTCCTCTCTGTATATCCGCCTTTCCAATGAAAAAAATAATAAAAATAAATCTTTAAAAAAAAAAACAACTCTGCAGGAGTTTCTCTCCTAGGGTCTTAGAATCCATCAAGAAACAAGTCTTGTTGGTTCTTGACTTTCTCTAGAAATATTAATGGAGAAAACAGAGTGGAAATAATTTTAGGGCAATCAGTGAAATTTTAACAATTCTCCAAAAACAATATCTGAGTCGACCCTCCCAAGAACCTGGTGATATTCTGCCCTCTGTCCTCCTAACTGCTGTTCTGGTCCTAACAGAAAACAAGGAACAGAGAAGAGGCGTGTTCCCTAGGAGCCCTGGAGAGATGGCTGTACTTCTCTCTCAGACCCAGAGATAAATTTTATCCCAAGGAGAGAGGGAAAAAAAGGTTAACTTACAACTCCAAGAGAGCTGCAGGCAAGGGCTAAGAACTTGAGCCACTCAATCTCCTCTGTGAAGCGCCCCACATTCATCACACTGTTGAACAGGTCTGTGGGGAGGTTCAGCACCTTCCAAATCTGGGCCAGCTCCTCCGCATGGATGATCAATCTGCCAGCCACCTGCGGGACAGGTGACACACACATAAACACAGCAGAGAAGGTTGAGGGGAGCAGGCAGATGGAAGAATGTCTTGAGAAACACCAGCCCAGGCCAGGGCCAGGAGGGGTGTCAGGGAAGTCAGACTGGCAAGGAGCATGCTGTGTGATTTAGTGACATTAGAACTTCAATTGTCAGAATTATGGGGAAAGATACACATTAGCACAATATTTAAGGTCCCCTCTCCCCCAGATGCTTCTATTACCTGCTATTTTATTCCTAGGTGGTCCCTATAAGGCAGATAGGACAGCCTGAAAATAAAACCAAGAGGCAAGGAACTTCCCTGGGACAACTAAGGGGTTGAAACAAGAGCAAGGTGGCAAGTCTTTGGTCTCCAGATGCCGCAGAGTTCTTGGCCCCAGACCTCAAGGGCACTCTTCAGCTTTCCCAGCAATGGTAAGGGGTATAAGGGCGGACCCATAGAGGTTCTAGATACCTAATGTCACCCTGTCCCTGGTGCTTTTAGAGTCCTGCCATGTTCATTGCACGAGGTACAGGGTGGATAAATGGAAGTGAACGAAAGGCTGGCTATTGGCCAAAGTGCAACACTCTGACACCCCTAAAGTAGTCTAGCACCTTTCCTGACCCTCTTCTGGTCCTAGAGGAGTGGCAAGCCCTGCCTCATAATGAGCATGGCAAGTCCTCAGAATGGGCAAAAGTGTACTCCTTCTCAAGTCAGACCTCCTCTTCTCTTTCCTGGGTTTCCATGGCTATGAAGAGAGTCAAGGTTTGCCCTAAAAACCAGCCTCCACCTGGGATAGCAGAGGAACTTTAATACGTGTCTCCCCTAATTACGTCCAGTCACTGTGGACAGAAGGAATTTCCACTGCAGTAGACTCCTGGACATTCTGCCAGCTTTAGGGAAATCTGGAATGAGTCCCTTGACAGCTCAGCCTACAGCCTAGTTAAAGAGTACTGCTGTTTCTCTAAGGCAAGGGTGCTTTCAGATCACAATTTAGTGCATTTTAGTGTGGTGCTACAAGACTAGCTGCCCAGCAGGGGGACCCGGCCTCCACAACGTCCTCAGGTCCCCTCCCTGCAGCCCTGTGAGTCCCTTACCCGAGAATGCAGGATCTTTAGCAGTTCTGGGGTTAGCTCTGCCCAGTTCGACAAAGACACTCGCTCGGACGGGTCTCTAACCGGAGGAACATCTCCACGGGACATAGCCCCGAAGTAACTACAAGAAAAACAGTTACAAGTGGGGGGAGCATCCACATCCCAGGGACCTCTGGCTACAAGTTTTGGGAACCCCTTCTAACCTCGTTTTTGTTTTTGCTTTGTTTTGTTTTCTAATGGAAAATGAAAAAAGGACATTCGTTATGTGGTTTGTGTGTGCCAGACACTGTTCGTTCATTTGCAGAGGAAAAAGTCAATGTGTTTGCACGTGAGTTTGGGACTGGATCTACGTTTTTTGTTTTCTTTCAGATCATCCCTTCTTGATACTATTCACACACACACACACATTTCAAACAATGTATACAACAAAAGTACTTCCAAAAATTCTTGTAAAATGGAATTAAAAGATGAATTTATTTTGGTACAAAAAAGTTGAGGTCCATGCATATGCATGCATATAAATGCATCTGATATACACATGTCTGTGTGTGCTCTAGTCTTAGGTAGAAGGCAGGGGTTTGTAAAGCTGGGAAGAGAAGATGGCAGAGAATTGAAGTCACTTGCACAGAAAGGGGAGGAGAAGGAGAACTCCCAAGGGTGAGTCAGGGAGCTTTATGACTGCAGGTAGTGAGGCTTGGGGTTTAAGAGGGAAAGGAGAGAAAGTTGGCTGGACACAAAAGGAAGTTCAGGAAGTCAGAGACACCTGGATAGAGTGCTTGGGAAGTAAAACCCTTCTCTCTCTGCTAACCTCCCGGTACAGTCTGCCCACTCCCCAGGGCTCTGTGAAGGGGGTTTTGTCTGGGGCAATGTGCAGAAGACTTGAATCTTAGCTCAGGATTGGTACAGGTGAGAAGAGGCTGCTTGCGGCAGGGAAGGGTCACTTGTGGCTAGCTGTGGGTCACTGCAAGGCTATGGCAGCATTTCTCTCTTTCAAAAGCTTTTGTACGGACTAGCCCTCAACTGCAAACTTCCACCCCTCCCTGCATAGCCCTGTGCCCACTACTTTCTCCAGATTAAGATGAAAAAGCATACAAGAGGAATTTTTAAAAGCTTCACTTTAAGACACACCATTTAATGATGGGGCCAAGCACCTTAGGCCTAAACACAATACCTCCCCTGCACGCTCTCAGCCAACCTCGAGCAGAGGGAAGGAGAATCCTGGCAGGTTAGTACTGGGGTGGGCGCGGGTGCAGCATGTCCGGAGTAGGGTGTGACTTTTGGGGACACGTGTAAATGTATAAATGGGAGGGACACACACACACACAGCACCTCCTTTTTGCACAAGTGCCCACTGGGTGTAAGCAAGTGACACTCAGCAGCAATGGCTTCAGATCTTGTAGCAAAACTGGATAAGGAGCATCGGAATGAGGCTGCCATGGGATTTAGTCCTTGGAGTTGCAGGGTTTCATTGCACTGAACAACTATGCCGACTTGCCTGTATTGTAAACCTGTTGTCAACACAAATGCCTATCTGAGGACAAATCAGGGTATGTCTCGTAGATCTGGGTAGGCTTTTTTTTTTTTTTCTGACACCACATATGGAGGGAAATTCTTGCTTGGGTTAAATCCTGTCTTGCAGATACTCTGTTGAGTCTTACCTTCTAAAAGGCTACCAGCTATAAAGTTGCATCTGAGAAGCATTTTCGGCGCCTGGTCAGGATGGAGAGAGGCTCTTGGCCCATGTCCTTTTTTACCGTGGAAAAACTACAAACTGATTTTTCATGGGTGTCTCAACACCTTACAGCACAGAGCATGCTGTGGCGGCCAGGAGGGTTGCGGCAGTGGGAGGTTCTTCCACCATAAATGTCAAGGACGATATCAAGTAATGTCATTTTTCTTAGTGGGAAAACAGCAGTGCCAAGAACGCTAAAATGGTGGCTTTAAATGATTGTATGATATAAAACCCACTCTACCCCCCCAGCGCCAAGAAAAAATTAAGTCTTCTGAGACTGAAGCTCCACATTAGGGGTCCTAGATGGCATTTACGGCAGAAAAAGAAGCACGATAGCATTGCCATGGCCAACGGCCCGCGCGGCCTCCTGCCAGGTCTACCCGCACCTCAGCCTCCAGTCCCTTCTCCCATGCAATGTGGATGGGGTGGACAACTGTAGGTGGATGTGAACAAACCAGTCTCAGGCATCGCCAAAGAACTTAAAGACCTTTCCCCCCAAAGGAACAGATTCTGGGCGAAGGTTGGCTTCGACAGCCGCGGACTAGGGGTCTCCCCCGCTCCGGTGCGCCCCCACGACCCCTGACGCCACGCGCCTGGCTCCCTTGCCTCCTCCTAACCCCCGGGTCGTTGCTGCCACCTGGTGGCCAGAGGGGAGGACGTGGCTTCGTGTCAAGCCCCGGTCCTGGGTCCCCGTGGGTGTGCGTGCTGGGGTGCAGGGCTGGTGTAACTGTCGCCCGAGACCCCAGCATACCGCGGATGTGGGCCTGGGGTCCTACAGCTCGGAAGGGCTCGCCTCCCTGTCCAGCGATTGGAAGGCCCCTCAGTAAGGAGAGCTGAAAATCACCAGGATGCTAATCGGTCCCGCCCCGCTGGCCGCAGCTGTGGCGACCTTCCCGGTGTCCCGGGCTCTGGCGGGAAGTAGGGGACACGTACTCCGAGGCCCACTGGATGAGATCCTGCGGCTGAGTCCGGATGGCGGCTTTGGTGAATTGCTTCAGCAATTCCGGCAGCTCCGGCGGGATGCATATTTGCTTATCTGTCTGAGGCATTGGTTGGTCGACCTGTTCACAGGGGAAAAAATGCAAATGAAGAACCTTTGAATTCTAAGATAGGACCCTTGGGCTGTAGCCATTCAGCCTCATCTTGGGGATTCCACTAACCCACAAAACAGTTACTTACATTCCATTGCTACACAGCTCCAAAGGCAGAGAGTAGCTTGTTGATACTTACTTTGTGTTGTAAATAATTTTGTCCTTGACATAAATAGCACCTCTTAATCGTTCAAAAATAGAGATCAACAAGGAGTAAACAAATCTCTCGATGTTAACACAAAATATTGACTATCTCCTTCCAGATTAAAGAATAAAAAGTTTTTGTTTGCTTTCTTTTGAGAGAGAGAATGAATATGAATGTATGTTCCCACTCACTAATGTCTTGTAATGGAGGTAGAAGTTAGGAATTCATTCCAGGGCCGCTGGGTGCAAGGACCCAACCACTCCAGGCATGACGCTGCCTCCCACAGTCTTCTCTTGTAGGTAGCTGGAGTAAACCCAGGTGTTAAATGTCTGCCTCCAGATTTTTTTTTCAATGCATGTTTGTATGAATAAGAAATGGGCTAATTTACTTCACAGCCTATTATGAATATCTTTCCATGCCGTGTAACTCTTACCAGTTAGATATAAGCTGTTGCAAAAATTCATGAATTTGACACAGGTTATTTTGTAATAAATTTAATCACCAACAGCCATTTGATAGACAGCTCTCTTTATATGTGCATGTTCTCATCTAACAGAACTTATATGTTTCCATGCAGAAAGTTTTGAACAAATTAAAGCATGAAAATCCATAGATGGAGTACAGTTCTATGCACAAATAGCAGCTGAAAATTTTTGACTTCTTCCAGGTGGAGAAAGGGACAGACTAGAAATGCTGAAATACCTTGTTCCCTTTACAACCCCAAATGTTATTAAAATCCTAGGTAGGTAGGGCCTAGCACAGCGGCTGAGTGGCTAAATCCTCGCTTTACTTGTGCCAGGATATCATGTGGGCACCGGTTCCTGTCCTGGCTGCTCCACGTCCCTTCCAGCTCCATGCTTGTGGCCTGGGAAAGCAGTAGAGAATGGGCCAAAGCTACAGGAGTACTGAGCTCCCCTTCTGGCCCAAGTCTGCCTCCTGTCGGTCCCAACACACACACACACACACACAAGCACACACACACACACACACGCACACACACACATGCGCGCACGCACACACACACACACGCACACACACACATGCGTGCACGTGCACGGCCATCATCCATCCTTGGGAGATCACACAACCTGTTGAGAAGCTGGGAAAGAACAGAGGGAAATATCTATCTACAGGCAGGGAAGCATCTCCGTTGTCACTTGCTGTTGGCAGAACTAGTTCACCAAGAGTTTTGTAGTCACAGGATAGGTCCAAGTTGATACCAGTATTAGTTTGATTCAGAAATGCCGAAACGAGAAATCACGATGGTTTCAGGTCTGAGCTGTTTCATTACCTTTTGCTTCGTTTGTATTTTATTTGGAAAAAGAGAGTAAGGCTGATGACTAACATTATTAATGATATCGTTATCATTATTAACGATATTAGCTTTGTGAAGACAAGTATGCAAAAATCTAGGTATTGTAAGCATTGCATTATAAAAGTAATATAACCACCAAACTTGTAGAGAGGAGAAAAGAACGTTAAGAACACACACACTCACATAAAAACAAAAACCTTTCAATCAATCCCGAAGGAAGGAGGAGAAGTGTAGCAAAAATGGACAATCAGCATGATGGAAAGTAATCTGCATGTACCAGAAAGCATAACAAACGATAAAGAGTTACAAGTGTCTGTTAAAATACAGACATTATAGATTGGAATTTTAAAATGCCAGTATGTGCACATCTGAAAAAAAAATAGCCTGAAGGCAAAAGGCTATAAACAAGCAAATAACAACAAAAGAAAAGTGGATGTAGACATTATTAATACTAAAGAGGGCGGTCATGAGGTAAAACCCACTCTTAGGAATAGAGTCACTACCCAGGGATGGAAGCTTTGACTATTAACATGGTAGGATTCTTAGCTTGGATGCTATGAACACCACCACCAAGCGTTCACACATCACTGGGTGGAAAAGCTTCCTATTTTGCTTTAAAGATTTTATTTTTATTGGAAAGATTACACAGAAAGAAGGAGAAACAGAGAGAAAGATCTCTGTCCACTGGTTCACTCCCCAAGTAGCCACAATGGCCAGAGCTGAGCTGATCCAAAGCCAGGAGCCAGGAGTTTCTTTCTGATCTCTGTGGGTGCAGGATGCCACTGCTTCAGGCCATCCTTGACTGCTTTCCCAATCACAAGCAGGGAGCTGGATGGAAAGTGGAATATCCGGAACACAAACAAGCACCCATATAGGATCCCCAACATGCCAGGTAACTGCGCCAGGCCCAAAGCTATCCTTTTTATTATTTTTTTTTAATATTTTTGACATTCTTTACATAGTTAATTAGGGTAAAAAGGTTCAAGGGCTATAGGAAAGTAGGTTAGACTATTACTTCCATATTGTTTCCTTCATGTATCTGAGATAAAGGAAGATATTGAGGGAGAAGCCCCACCCAGTTTCCCACGCACCACAGGTCCCTGATGTGGGGCATGCTCTGAGGGTCTTGCTCAAGTAGTTTTGATAGTTCACCAGTTATGAATTGCTGCCAATCTCGCCACTCCAAGCATGATGAGGTCATTGAAGAATCCACTGATTGACATAGTCCATCATAGAGTCTCTGTTTGCCCTGTATGTCGCTGCTAACATATAGCTGAGGTGGTTCAATGACTTGTTCTGTCTTCTCTCTTTTCTTGGTTAGGGTTCTGAGCCAGGCATTTCAATTGGGGAGATGTCCAAAGAAATTGAGCTGTTCCCAGACCAGATTCTTATATGCACTAGCAAGTACAGGGCCCTGCACAGTCCATCGCCCTGATCAGCTGGTGGTTGCAATTGCTGGGTTGGTTCTGTTTTCAGCCCCGACTTCCACTGGAATCAATGGGTGTTGCAGTCCAGCCTGGTTCTGCCCAGCACATACTCAGCATCACTTAAACAAGTAGGAGCTGCAGCCTGGTCAGAGCGACCCACAATAACCCCCACCAGGCCTGCCCCCTACCCTGGTTTGCCAGTATGTGTAGCAGTAGTCCAGTCTGTCCCACACCCCATTTGGCTCTCGTACATGTCAATGAGTATTAAAGCTTAGTTCCATCCAACCAAGCTCAACTGTCCAGCCCTCACGTATGTTGTTGAGTGCTTGTCTGTCTAGCCACCCAGCCTCCATCCTAGTTATCGTGCCCTCCCGTGGGAGTGGTAACCCCATGGGAAGAGGGAGGAGCCCACTATTTCCCTCCCAGGCCTCTCCCACTCCCAGATTGTGCACTCTCCAAGTGGTTCTGTGGCTTAACTTGACAGAATTAGCTCCCCGTGCCAGCTTCTGTCAGCTGATGCTGCAGCTAAGCCCAACCAACCCTCACCCACTCTAACTTCGTTTGCATCAGTAGGAACAATCAGCCCAGCCTGGCTTTTCTTTAGGGTTACATGTGCATGTATGTATGTGATGGCAGGATCGTGAAGATTTGAGGAGCGAGAATGCCTGTCCAGAAGGCCAGCATCCCTGGCATGCAGCAGGTTGCTCTCAGGAAGATGCACCTGCTCAGCATTACCAGCAATGGTCCCTGTGTTAAGCTCCATAGTGGCCATCTTCCAGGATGACTCCACAGTGATGCTGGAGGGAGCCTCTCAGACATGACTGTCTTTCCCCTCTTGAGACTTTCTCCTCCTTTGTTGGAATGCACCATTGTTGTGTTTCTAGTTTTCTAGGCAACTCCCTCCCTCTTTAACTCTTATTCCTCCTGCTCAGCAAGAGTTGGCAGTCTTCCCCAAATTTATTCTTCAGCACTTCAGCATTGAGCTTACATCTTGCTGTTATGCTTGGAGCCCTTACACTCTCTTCGTGGCTTTCTCTACTGCAAAATCAAGCTCGTTACACTGGTTTGTCCAACTCTGACCTCTCCTTATGCTTCTACTTCATGTTTCCCATTACCTCCTGGACACTGCTCTACTAGAATTCCTTGTCTCCCACAAGTCCCCGTTTCAGTTTCTTTTTTTGAATGTGACACAACCATTCTCTTCAGACTGTTGATTTTCACTAAACTGTATGACTGTTTCCTTGGAAACGTGTCTCCAGTTCATTCCCTTTCCCTAGTCTACCCCTATTACTCTAGTTAAGCCCCCTAGGCAGGCCCCTAGCCCCCTCTGTGCAGGCCATGCTTTGGTCTACCCTGCCCAGCTTGTCCAGACTTGTCTACTACATTGCTTCTAATAGTTCAAAGAGCCTTGCTGACCAAGTGGCAACCCTATGCTCACATCCCGTGACTGGCACATACAATTTAAAATTTATTTTCTCTTAATAGTTACCAACACAGTCTACTCTAGCTGCTTTCCAATAAATTATGAGTGCTTTTAAAGCACAACACCTTTTTTCCTTTTATTTTATTATTGTTATCATTATTGTCATTTTGTGATGGAGTTCCATAGGCCTTGAAATTTCCACTACCCTTTTCCCCTGATTTCCCCCTTCTCCCCACTGAGTTCTTCCGTATTATTACAACAGCATAGTTCCTCATAGACAGTCACAGTCCATCATTGTGGAAATGGACAATGGCAGAAAATCCAGCATCACATTGTCAAGACACATTCAACAGTTTCACTGGGAGTTCATCCTTGATCTGGAAGTAAAGATGCACACTGCACCGAATCCTCACATCTGGACATGTCAGTCTCCACTACACAGTCACTATAAACTGCCCAAGTGAAAAGCCACAAAAGAAAATCAACAACAGGAAGAAAAACAGAAATTTACAATGCCATGATGATTAAACAATATGCCATTGGACATGATGATCTTCATTACACAGTTACTGTACATCCCCTTAAATGAAAAGCCACAAAAGAAAATCAACAACAGGAAGAAAAAAATAAATTGAAAACGCCATGAAGTTAAACATTACTA